AGGGAAAGAAGGTTAAAAAGAGCCCCTATTGTCAGGAAACAGGTCTCTGAGACTGCTGTGCTGGGAATGACCCCAGATGCGGGGCTGGCACAGAGGAGGTGCACAAGAAACAGGAATGGAATGAATGAATGACCAGTCTCTTCCCAAAGGGGTCACACTGTAACTGTGTCCAAACATCCCTGGCGTTAGCAGGAGTAAGGGTCCTGGTCAATGCCGCCGTAAAGTAAGTCAAGATAAAAGAAGAAAACCTGACTGACTGGGCCTCTACTGGCCTCCTGTGCTTAATGACAGGTTCGAGGCTTTTCAGTATTCATAAAGGATGAGGAAGCAGAATTAAGAGTTCAGACTTCAGAGGGAGATGTGCATGCGTTCAAATTTCCACTGTACCATGTAGGAGCTTGTTTGACCCAACCTTTCTTCCTGTGTCTTTATCAGAAAAATGGGAATAATAATGGTAACTAACTCACTAGATTGTCGTGAAGATTCAATCATGCATTTGATAAGTATTTTAGAAGCAGGCAGAGTTATGGATATTAGGACCACGGGAGGTCCCGTTCTCATACAGTTTACAGCCTCAGAGCCAAAGGTCCAAGACAGACAATAAACACATTAAAACATAATTTCAGATTGGAATTAGAGGTTAGCTGCTAGCAGCCACTTTGGTAAGGGCAGTCAAGGAAGGACTCTCTAAAGAAGAGACACTTCAAGATCTGGTGCATGTAAGTCACTTACATAGAGCTTTGCACAAGGTAAGAATTCATCCCAGCTCCACTGCTTGCTGGGTGAACTTGAACAAGCTGATTCGGTTTCCTTGTAAAATGGGGACAATGACAGTTCCTACCTGGCAGTGTTCTAATGCGAATTGAATGTAAGTAAAGCACCTAGAAATGTAGCTGGTACAGAATAAATTGTTAGCTATTACTACTTTTAACACTAATAACGTAATCCTTCCTCCCCCTCTCATTGTAGGTCAACGGTTCTTAATCTCCCCATACCTCAGCTTTCTGCTCTGTGAAATGAAGATGTGGCAGCCCAGCACATCCTGGGGAGCGGGGGGGTCGGTGCAACTGAGCTCCGTTCATGGCAGTAGTGATGGGATGGAATGGACACCCTCTCCCCTCTGATCCCAGGGAAAAACTGTCCACGCCCGACGGTCTTGAAGCAAATCCCCGCCCACTGGCCGCTCCAGAGCCGACCTCGAGCTCCGTTGCCAAGGAAACCTCACATCCCTGGATAGTCCCGCCCCTCGGCCGTAGTCAAACGACTCAGACCTCCCCTCTGGTCCCCGGAGACTCCCCGCTCCTCACCCGGGAGACGCCTTCCTCGCCGCCCAGGGTCTGCAGCATCTTGGACACGTCGCGCACCACGCCCGGGTACTCCACACACACCATGTGCCGCTCGCGCCGCAGCTCCACGGGGACGGCGACCCCCGGACCCCAGTCTGCCGCCGCCATTCTGCCAGTCTCGTCGGGCCCGCCGCGGGCCGTCCCTCCCCGAGCTCCTAGAGGCCTAGCCTGAACTGTTCCGCTAAGGAATCGTTCCGGGCTTCCTCCCCGCTCGCGTTTGTCTAAATCCCTGAGTTCCGCGAGGCTCGAAGGCCTCTGGGAGCACACCCCCAAGGTGAGGCCCCGAGGCTCGGGGTAAACGACAGCCCGTCCCTCAACTTCGTGTTTAAAATGAGGAGGGTTGGAACTCGAGGGGCAGGGTAGGGACCTGTCTCTTCCACCAACCCGCGAGGGACCTGGAGGCTTGTAAGACACACCCACTCTTTTAGCCAATGAGAACCCGAGGGTCACGCCGAACTTTTTAGCCAATGAAGAGTCAGAAGGAAGCGAAGTTTCAGCCCCCTCCTTCCGCCTGCATAGGTTTTTAGCCAATAATGAACCAGGGCTAGGCCGGGTCTCCTCCCCTTCCTCGGATCCCACCCAATGACAGCTCGAGGGCGGGCTCGAGGCAGACTTCCGGCCCGTCTTCTTGCGTGCTGAGGTCCCAGAAATGAATTGGTTTCCTGACGCCGGATGCGCCGGAGCGGTTTCTTGGGGCCTCGGCCCCCCACTCCTGCTGCCCGCCCCAGAACGGAGGCCAGGAGGAGTTTGATCTGGAAATGGGGAGTGCAAGGGAATTTCACTTTGAATCTTTTTTTTTTTTGGCCACGCCGCGGGCTCTGCGGGATCTCAGTTCCCCGACCTGAGATTGAACCCCCCGCAGCTGGGCAGCGGAAGCCCGGAATCCTAACCACTAGACGATCAGGGAACTCCTGGGAGTTGTGCTTTTAATGCTCGCCCACCTCCACACACGGAAAACCGGGAGCGCCCCCCTCCCCCGGTGAGAACTCGGGGCAGAATGCGGGTGTCTGTCCTTCGTTTCTTAGACAGTTATTTAGCGCCCGCTGTGTGCTGGGCACTACTCAGAACCTAACAGAGGAGAGAAGCATTAAGTGAGCGGCTGTGGAAGACCCTAAAAGGAGGGACCGGGGCCGTTCTAGGAAATGACGGAAGACAAAACTGTTAACAGCAGGCAGGTAGCTAGGTATGAGAAGAGAAAGAAGGGCAGGAGCCAGGTGGCAGGGGGTCCATGGGCAGACAAAGAAAAACAGGAACCTCCAGACTGACAGGAAACCACACATTTTGAGTGATAAGTGTCCTGGAAGCATACAGAGAAAGATGAGGAAAGGCGGGAATCTCTTGCGTCCGCTCATTATACCCTCATTACAATAAAATTAGCCTCGCGGAAGTACCCATCATGCACCGACGCCGTGACAATTCTCATCTAAGCTAAATAAGGACAAAAATCCCTCCTACCCTCAGGAAGATGGAGCTGGGATGAAAATCAGGGAATACGAACCCCGAGCTCCTCCTTCCCCAGTGAATATCCCGCTCCTTCCTTTGTATGCCCCTCGTAACTGGCTTGCCAAAGAAACCCCGGGCAGCAGCTCTTCACCTGTCTGCTCGCTCTCCCTCTGAGACGGTATTCTTGCTTAAATAAATTCTCACTTTACTTTCTTAACCTCCCTGCTTCGTCTCTGAATTCTTTCGCGATGAAAAAAGAACCTTAAATTCACCAGGAACAAAACTATAGGGAGTGAAGTAAGGGGAGATGAAGGGTCAGAGGTCGACATAGGCCAGACCTAAAAAGGATGTACCTAATGGATGGGCTTTTTCTGAGTACGATGGAGAGCCTTTGAAGGGTTTTATGCAGGGAGTGCCAGAATCTGATTTATGCATTTAAGAGACTCTATATGGCTGTTGTGTAGAGAATAGACCAGAAAAGGCAAAAGTGGATTCAGATAAACCAACAGAGAGGCTGCATAATCCACGTAAGAGATGCTGCCTGGGGTCAGGGGAGTGGCAGTGAGGATGTAAAGAAGGGACTGGGGACTTCTCTGGTGGTCCAGTGGTTAAGACTCCGCACTCCCAATGCAGGGGGCCTGGGTTCGAGCCCTGGTTGGGGAACTAGATCCTGCATGCATGCCACAACTAGATCCTGCATGCATGCCACAACAAAAAAAAAGAAAAAAAAGGATCCCGTACTCGGCAACTAAGATCCCGCGTGCCACAGCTAAGACCCGGTGCAGCCAAATAAATAAATAAATACTTTAAAAAAAAAAAAAAAAGGAAAGAAGGGATCGGATTTGAGGATGTCATAAGAGCAAGGGACCCCTCGGATATGGGTACCTCAAGTTTCCAAAGTGATTTCTGAATCGAGATTACCTCATTATTCTAGATGGATTTAAGAAGTCCAAAAAAACGGCTGCAAAGACCACGAAATACATTTTTAAAAGAGAAGTGTGTAATCTGAGTGTGAAATATATGTCATCGGCTGGGAGCCCCGAGACTTTGAAAAGAAGGCCCTTCGGAGAGCACGTGGAGGACGGGCCAGAGGAGGCTGGACATGAAGGCTTAGCAGTCCCTGACCGGCCTTCTCCTGTGGGAACTTGCATATTCTACCATCAAAGAAGAGTCTATGCTGTGAGGCCAGGATAATTCTCCAGGCTTTTCTATGCCTTGAGATGAAATGTCCTTTTAAACTTCTCATGTCCTTTGCTGTCATTCCATGCTCACCAAGCAGTATTCTGGGTTGGTTTAATTTTCCAGAAAGGAGAGTCTGAATAACAGATGTATATTTTTACCCCTGCCCACAATTGTAAATTAATAAATTGGTGTGTTTATATCATCCCCCTGTGAGTTTGGTACACATGAGTCAGTCCTGGGGGCTGTCACTGTCGGTAGAGTGACTGATAAAATATTGGATATACAGTTAAATTAGATTGGATACAGACATAATGTTGGGGACATACTTATAATAATTATTTGTTCGTTATTTATCTGAAATTCCAACTTAGCTAGGTATATTTATATTTGCTAAATATGACACTCTTACCTCTGGGTATGGAAGGAATTGAGTTTCTGAACCTGCAAAGCTGATTCTAAACTACCCACAGCCTTAGGGTGTCCACTGAGGTCCTGACCAACCTCTAGCCCCCAATCCAATGATCCTTTTTAGTTTTGTCTGCTCTAATCTGTTCTACTTATGGAAGCAAGAGTGATCTCTCTAGGATGAAATCTCACTCTGGCTTTGTCTCCAGTGACTCCCCCGCACAGTTCCCATCCCAACACTTGGTTGACCCCTCAGCATCCTTCAGGGTTCCATGTAGAGATCACCTTGCCTGGAGAGTTTGGTGTCACCCTCTGCGCCCCTGACATCCAAACTCATCCTGTCACACAATCTGCAGCGCTGTTTTATTTCTTTTTTATTTCTCTTCCACCAGAGTTTCAGCTTCCTGAGGGCAAAGACTTTGTCCTACCTGGGATCCAAGGTGGTGACGTCAGAGACAGGAGTAGGGCAGTGAGGCCGGGCTGGGAGGAAAGGGAGGCCAGGAAGGTTCAGGAACCCAGTTAAAGAAGCAGCTGGGACTTTCCCCAAACATCACAGCATTGGGAGCAGGTAACAATGACACTTAATATTTGCACACTGAGGGGGTCTTTCCCTGCCCGGTTTCCGGGCATCCTTCCCCACCCTTGTCCTCCTGCAGTGGGAGTTTTCATCCCTTTGGACAGAAGGGTTTGGGGTCTCTGCAGCTCTCGCCACCTCCTGTGGTCTGGATTGGGGTGGGGGCCAGGGGCGGCTGGTGCATACCACTCCCACCCAGGAGAGATGCAACCGCCAAAAGAGACCTGGGTGTTGGTGACCAGTGTTTGCTGCTCAGATAAAGGTGGGGACCCCGGCACGAGACACTGAAGGGTGCGCCTTCCACTGCCCACTGTGGTGGCTGAGCTGTCCTTCCCCGGCTCAGAGACCCTCCGCCAAGACAGGCAGAGGAGCCGGCTCTCTCCTCTTGGGTCTCAGGCTGAATCTTGGCATCAGTCTAAGCCTTGCAGGAGCTTTGCCATCTTGAAGCTTTGAGTCTGTCCACCCCAAGTGGAGTTTCTGCCTTGCCCTTGGGGGGGGACGGCCTGCTTCACCCACTGGTCCTCACTGGGGTGTCTGGAGACTGGCCCACACGGTTTGAAACTTTATGCCTGCTTCAATGTTTTCTTTCACATGGCATGCGTGAGTGCTGGGGAGGAATGCGGGGGTAGGAGGTATTAGATATATAAAGTTCTCATCATCAAGGCGAAACAGGTTATTTCTATCTTGGGAGTGTAAAACAGGACTCAGTGTAGTCAAATACGAAGCCAAACATTAGTTCCATTCATCAATCATTCAACAAAAACCTTTTGAGTCTCCACCATGCACCAGGCAGTAGGTCCCTCCGCAAGAAGGGAGACAGGTAATAAACACGTACATAATTCTCACACCTGGCATGCTGTGTATTATATGTGCTAAGAAAAAAGGCAGCCTAAGGGGGTATAGCGTGCTGAATGGGGGTCCCTAGGACACGACCTCATCCTAAATCCCTGAGATCTGCAAATGTGACCTTATTTGGAAAAAGGGTCTTTGCAGAGTGATTAAGCTATAAGGATTTTGAGATAATGGGATCTTCCTGGATTACCCAGCTGGGCCCTAAACCCAATGACAAACGTGCTTAGGACAGAAAGGCAGAGGAGATTGGACACACAGAGAAGAGGAGGCCTTGTGATCACAGAGGCAGAGATTGAAGTCATGTGGTCTCTAGTCAAGGGTTGCTGGCAGCCACCAGGTGCACTGGACAAGGCAGGAGGGACCCTCCCCTCCAGGCTTCAGAGGGAGCCCATCCCTGCGGACACCTGGATTTCGGACTGCTGCCCTCCAGTGCAGTGAGAATATATTTCTCTTGGGTTTTAAGCCACCTAGTTTGTGGTCATTTATTACGGCAGCCACAGGAAACTCATACAGGAGGACAGAGTCATTGGGTTTTAAAGCATTTTCAAGATTCATTTTTGAGTCGTGACACTTTCTGTCACAAGTGGGGCAGTTTTTCTGCTGTTGACTTTAAAGATATATATGTGCAATGTGAGAGTTGCGAGTTAAGTTT